TAATCATTATATTTTTAAAATTCTAAAGATTTATTATTCCCAAATAAGAACTTATAATTGAACCATCAGGTTTTATTATTTTAATAAACATATTGTTGTTATTATTGTTGTTGGTGTTGATTGCCATCAAGTCGAGCATAACTCATGGCGACCCTATGATCAAAAGGCCTGAAGCCTTTCTATAACTATTGTAATTTATCAAAGTTCATAGAGTTTACAGAGGCATGTTGTTTAGGAAGTGGATGCCATTCCTGCTTCCAACATAACTTTCTTAAATGTCAGAATTAGGTTCTAAGTTAATTTAATTAAATAATTTAAAAGTAAATTTGACCACATTTTAATAGCAAAAATACATATTTCTTACTTGCTGGTCTTGTTTTCTATTCTACATTGGCTTACCTTTGCAGTTATTGTATGTTTTAATTGTAGTCAGCCCGTGGTATTGGAATAAGTGGAAATAATGCAACAGCAGGAAAAAGAATAGGTAAGCAACAGGTATTTTTAAAACATTGTAAGGCTAATGACATCATTATGCATACCACTGAATTTTTAAAGAGATAATAGAATAACTTTTTTGTTGTATGCACTGAGGAAATGCTTTGTCTAAAGCTTAGGGTTTTTGGTTTTGTTTTTTCTTCACTTAAGGAAATTATTATGAGAATTACCTGTAGGAGAGCTATGGAGAATAAAGTAAAAAACAGAAAACTGAACTAGGTCTCCATTTCCTAGAAGAGGGGTGGCATGAAAAATGAACATCTAGTTCCCACCCTAAATCACTGACTTTTGCCATTGAATGAGGTTTGAAAAACTACCCCTACAAAGAATGTTCTTAACCTCATTTCTCAACATCAAGGTTCATGGAAAGTTAGTTTTGATGAGCTGATTATTTCTGGATAAGAGAACCAACCCTTTCCAATGCATAGTAGCAGAAATGAGTGCAATTTTAGCATCTCCGTGGGGGGAAAGATGGACAGTCTCTGCTTGTGCAATTTACTGCCTTTGAAACTCCCCTAGAGGGGCAATTCCAACTTGACAGCATGTAGCAACAACAAGGTCACTAAAGATCTCCATATTTTTAAATCTAGTAGGTGTTTACATGTTCTTATCTTACTGTGATCTTAGAAATAATTCTGAGTGTGCTCTTTTTAAAAAATTATGGGATTCAGATTATTGTCGATTTTTGGCTTAGTTGGGGTATGATTTTTAAATCTCTTATTACCTTTTTTTACTAGCAATTTTCTTCTCCCCAGATAGGTTCTCTTTTGGTTCTTGCAATAAATAACAGGTCCCCAAACTTGTTGTTGTTAGGTGCCATTGAGTCAATTATGACTCATAGCAACCCTCTGACCAACAGATCTTAGCTTTGCCCTATCCTGTACCATCCTTAACCATCTTCATCTACTGTAGCCCACTATCATAGTCACTGTGTCAATCTACCTTGTTGAATGTCTCTTCCTTTCTTTCTCTGACCTTTCCCACCATAATGTCTTTTTCCAAAGACAAGTCCCTCCTGACAGCATGTTCAAAGTAAATAAGATGACTTTTTACCGTCTTTACCTCAAAATAGCACCCTTATTGTACTTCCTTCAAGATAGACTTGTTTGTTCTTTTGGCAGTCCATATTTGACATCTTAAAATATTCAGTACTCTTTTCCAATACAATTCAAAAGGCATTGATTCTTCTGTTGTCCTCTTTCACTGTCCAACTTTCAGAAGCATAAGAATTGAAATGTATGTTTGAATCAAGCATACATCAGCCTTTAAACCAACATCCTTGCTCTATAACACTTTGCAGAGATCCTTGACAGTGATTTTTCCCAATGCAGTGCTTTTCTTTAATTTCTTGACTGCTGTTATTGTAAGTGTTAATTGTGGATCCAAGTAAAATATCACAAAGAAGCTAGGTGGTTGTTGTTGTTATGTGCTGTGGAGTTGGAAGCCAGTAAACTGTGAAACTGAGCTGTTTGCCATCATCATAGTTCCTATTAATGGTAGGTTCTATAACACTTAATTTTTAGAGTGCCTTTACATATGTGAATTGGTTTGACCTAAAAGCATTTTTAATTTCTGTCATCTTTTTAAAAATTAACAAATTGTAGTTTTGAGAGAATAAATAACTTGCTCATCATTTAGCTACTTTCTGAGGTATAATTGTTTACACTTATTTTGTAGTTTATCATGGGGAACTCTTGTGGCATAGTCCAACTTGCTTTGTTTACCCAAAGGCTGCACATCACGGGCAGTTGAAATCCAATAGCAACTCCGTGAAAGAAAAATGGTCAGTGTCCTATTGCAACGTGTAGTCATGAAATTGGCAGTGATTGATCAAAGGCTTTATTAAATATTATATCTAACAAGACATTTTAATTGGATTTCCATCAAAGTTTGGTATCCTTTATTTAAACTGATTATTACCTTTAAAGATAATACAACATGTACAAAAAAAATCCTAGAAACATTCTAATCAATAGAAAGTTACACCTTTAAATATATAACAGTAAGTACTATTTATTGTAACTTCACTCAGATTTATACAGATTTTGTAAAGAGAATGCAAGCAGCATTGGGGGGGTAGCTGAGTCTGACCTCCATTCAGGAGGACAGTTCCCATCAGTAATACTTACAGCACAAAACATATTTCCACAAAGTCAGACATTTTTCTACTCTCCTGCGCTTCTGATGTTATCTTGGTACTGCCCATGTCACAGTTTTGCCTGGTGAACCTGTTGTGGTGACTATAGAGAACTCACAGAACCACAGTCACAATTGTGAGTTTTATCAGGGAAGATAAGAGATTCTTATTCTGCTTGGCAACAGGTTATAATTTCACAGTCTTACACTTAATCAAGCATGCTCACAGGCCCTTTGACTTTCAGTTTTCAGGCATTAGGTCAGTGTCACATAACTGTGTTAGTACTACCAATTAGGGCATCTTTCTCAATGTTTGCCAGGAAGCTTGTGCAGAGGTCATTGACTCTGGCTCAGTGGAGTACTAGTCCTAGGTCAACTCTGTCTCATGTCTGTTCACTGTTGCTGCTGCTCTTGTATAAGTCCTGGTCTAACTGGCACAGGAATCACTGGCCCAGGAGGATGCACACTGTGTTCTATGTTGCTTCTTTACTAGTCATGAGATTCCTATTTTCTACTACTAAACATGCTCGTCTTAAATGTAGTAGGATAGCAAAACCAACCAATCCTATTGTGAGTTGTTTACAAATTGTTATATGCTGTCCAGTCAACTACAAATTATAGGGAACTTATGCGCAATATTGCGAAACCCTGCTCTATCCTGAGCCAAACTCACCGTCTCTAACACAACCTGATTACCCCAGTTATTGTGTCAATCCATCTCATCCTGGATCTTCCTCTCATGTGCTGTCCTAGACCCTTCCAAGCATGACATCCTTCTCCAAAGAGTGGTCCCTCTTGGCTGCATGTGCAAACGATGTGAGACAGAGTCTCAAAATCCTTACCTCCAAGGAACAGATTGGTTTTGCCCTCTTCAGGACAGATACTTAGTTTGCATTTTTCCACCCATCCATCTGGTGGAAATCAAAGCTAATGGGCTAGGAAAACCATTTTGAAACATTAGTCCATACTATAGTTTTAGATATGAAAATGAAAAGTCAAAGTCAAAATCGTTCTCATTGATTTGAAACTGACTCTGGATTTGGTTCTGAGGCTACAGATCACATAGGAGAAGATTGCCCATCTTTCTCCTGTGGAACAGCTGGTTGATTCAAACTGCAGAGAAGTGTGGTCCTTCACTTAGCAACGTAATTTCCTTTGAACTAGGCCACCAGAGCTCCCTAAATAGGAAATTAGCACAAATTAATTTCTAAGATATAGACGTTTACTTAGTCAAGAATGTGTTGTATTTAATAGTATTTCACACTTAGAATTTCTGCCTGAGAAATCAAAGTGTCTTTTCTCCAAACAGGGGAATGTGCTCATCACCTCCCACCTGTGAAAACCTCTATTCAAACAAAGAAGAAAACAGCAAAGCGTTGTTTTATTTGTGGAAAGAAAACAGGACTCGCTACTAGCTACAAATGCAGGCAGGTTGGCCAGCTGGAGAAGCTGAAATGTTTTCTATGTGGTGACCCAGATTATGCAAAATAAGTCTTTAGATTAGCTAGTCATAATACTGTCGTCATTAAGGTAGTGCTCAATTAGCAGTCAACTGGCAGAAGTGAAAAGCCAGTAGGCAGTATCATAAGTTTCCAAAAAGGGAAAGCAGATTCTCTCCTGCCTTAATTTGTCTTGATAAAGATATGTTTGGTTTTTGTTTCAATGCAGGTTAGGAAGCCTATCCCCAAAGAATTACTTTTAAATTGAAAAAAAAAAAAAAAGACCAAAGTTAATGTACTATGAATTTTAGCAATTATATTTTCTTCTTATTGCTACTGATAAAAAATATTTGTTTAGAAAATAAAACCTTTTTTTTTACCCACAGTTATTTCATTAACACTGGAGTGATTTGTATCCAAGAATGGTATCTGCCCCTAGATTGAGGCCAGGCGTTAAAAAGAACTGCTGCTCTTCAGATGTACTTTATTGAAATGAAAACAGCTTATCTTGTTGTTAGCAAATAGTTTTATGTAATATCTGGATTTTACATAATCTCATTTTCTTGTTAGAATTTCTAGGAAATTCAGAGTTCTCCTAGATTTATTAAAAGGAAATGATAGGCATATTTATAATTTTTTAAAAAATTTTACTACTTCCTAAAAGTCTATATCCTGTTTGATTCCTTAGTGGTTTTGGTTTTTTTTTAATTATTATTATCAACTTATAGCCAAATGAGGTGCTTTTGCAAGGTGCTTGTTTCTTTATGAGTGCAAAGGTAATGTCTGTCAGCTCTGAAAGTGCTAAAGAGAACCAGAGGGCTTCTGTTGGACTACCTGAAAGGGAAGCTCTGATCTCCCAAAGAAATTATAGACATGTAATTTTTTTTTGTGTGTGTGTGCTTTAGATGTGGAAACAACTTCTGTGCATCTCATCGCTATGCAGAGACCCACAACTGCACCTATGATTACAAGAGTTCAGGAAGGAGATACTTGCAGGAAGCAAATCCTGTTGTTAATGCACCAAAACTTCCAAAAATCTAACTCTTGACAAGCGCATGTGTGTTATACCCAAGGAATTGTATCATAACGACAGAAGAAATATTGTTTAGACTGCATTATTTTTGTTCAACTTCAACAGATTTGCCAAATAACGAAAGCATACAGTACATACTGTTGGAGAATTAAAAAAAAAAACACCAAATACTAAAAATCCCTACTGTCATTGATATCTTTATTCTTCCGTGAATTGAAAGTCAAAGTATTTTAATAATTTAACACTCTAATGATGTTCGATTTGGTATTGCCGTTTAACTAGACAAATCTTCATAAAATAAACTTTAGGAAGCTAATCGTCAATGTGTGCCAGACATGTCCATGGTGGAAACAAGCTGTTGTGTAATGATATTCAAACTACCACATCCTTCTGTTTTATTTTAGTTTGTTTTCAAGTGAGTGAGGCAGGGTGTTGGGAAGGAAGATGGGTTTTTTTCTTTTTTAAATCCCATATGTGAATGTTTATTGAATTCACTAGGAAGTTCCTTTTTATTTCAAGCTACATTTATTAAAAAAAGAACATTTGATTTTTTCAGTGGTTTTAGCACATAGCTATTTTTTCCCATATTCAGATTAACATTCAGAAATTGGTATCCATTCTATGAAATAGATCATGTTAATAATAGCAAATATTTCTTAAAATACTACTTTTTGAGTAATAATTTTAAAATAGAAGATATCCCACTTTATTGCCATTAAATATGGAAAACAATTTTTCACTTTCTAAAAAAATGGCTCCATTTAAAAATAAATCTAACAGCTTTATTTGTTTTTTTATGTTTTAAATGCTATTGTCAGGAGAAAGTAAAATAAATATTCAATGTCGTTGTGAGTTTATTTGATTCTTTATAATAATTTTTCTTTTACACATAATTTTTCTTATATAAAGCCACTTAATATTAAATAAGTCTAATGTATTCTATGCATAGGAATACTATAATTATAAAGGTGTACTTTCAGGGTTTAAAGTCCTTGCTCCCCAAATACAAGCAATATACTATTTATGCTTTTTAAAAGCCACTTGTTATTTTTTTTATTGAATTTAATGAAAGTTTACAGAGACTTAAGGTTTCCAGTCATTCATTGTTGCACTTTTCTCCCTGCTCACCCTCTTCACTTTTCTCCTTGATGAGTAAAAGAAAAACCTCTTTCATTGCTATGCAATCCCTCCCTCCAAGTTGTTTTACAGAGGCTCAATTAAGGTTGATGCTGAGCCGTGGAAAGAACCAGCAGATAGACTCTACAACTCTGGGGTCTCTAGGAGTCAGAAAGGCTAATTTTAGTGCCTTTCTTGACTTCTTAGGCTTGAGAATATCAAAGGTTGTGAGGATGGCATAGAATCATAAAAAATTCATATCTGTTCAGATCCCAGGATTGTTCTGAGCTGCCGTGCAACTCGATGGCACCTAACAACAACACTAATAGCAACAGCTAGCTGACTTCTTTCTCCACCTGAGTCCAAGTGAACTGGAGACTTCGTTATTTCCCCTCTAATTCCAGTAATAAATTAAATGCTGAATTTAATTAATTAATTAAAGTTGATACATGGAAATATGTTTATAGGGCTAAAGAGGATGGCAGAAAAATGGAGGACTTAAGCAACTAGAGGTTGAAAGGAAATATAACTCCCCCAAACACCCCTCATTGCCTTTGAATTGCCTCCAACTCACAAGGATCCTGTAGAACTGTCTCACTGGTTTCCAAGGCTGTCATTTTTATGGGACAGATTGCTGCCTCCTCTCCCACTGAAGGCTATGTGCTTGAACTAAAAACCTTTGGGTTATCAGTCAAATGCTTTGAATACTGCACCACCAGGGTTCCTCCAAAGGGAGTTTTTCTTCTTTATTAGGAAAATATTTACTTTAGATATTTAAAATCTAAAAGCTCTGTTACATAAATATAAAATTGCTACAAAATGAGCCAGAACATGCATAGAGAGACTGTAGGGTAAAAACCACTGAACCTTTAAGAAAGGTTTAGGGAATTTATCTGGTATTAACAAGACATCCAGGTGGAAACAATCTGTTCATATAAGGGGGAAAATAAAACTTCAGAGTAGGCCCCAAACATAGACAAAATAAGAGCCAGAAGCAAGGATTACCATAAAATCATTGATTGGTTAGTTTTTTATTGCAGTCAAAATCATTGATTGGTTAGTTTTTTATTGCAGTCACAAAAAAGGGCGGGTTAAAGAAATAGGGAAACATTGGATATAAATGCTTAGGTAAATTCAGATCTTTCCTTCATAGGATCACTATGAGTCATCTATGACTCATCGCTAGAGTCATCTAAGACTCGCAGTTAACAACAGTATTAACAGCTTTAGTATGCTTTGCTCCACAGTCAACATTCTTGGCACCAGCAGCCAGGAAAGTAAAAGACATATTGCAATGGAAAAGTCGGCTGTTAGGGAACTCTCAAAAGTACTAAGAGCAATGATGTCAGTCCGGAGACTAAGGTGTGCCTGATACAGGTCATGGTCTTTGCAGTCACTTGCTATGCGTTAGAGAGCTGGACAATGACTAGGGATGGCAGAAGGAGAATTCATGCCTTTGAGCTGTGTTGTTGGAGAAGAGTATTGAATATACCATGGACTACTAAGAAAATGAACAGGTTCATCTGAGAGAGGGTTAAACCAGGCAGCACCTTGGAGGCAAGGATTCTGAAACTTCTTCTGACATATTTTGGACATGTTGCAAGGATGGACCAAACCTTGGAGAGGAACATCATGATTGGGAGGGTGGAGGGACAGCGCAGGAGAGGAATACTCTCTATGAGCCAGATGAGGTGGATTGATTCCGTGACTGGGGTCATGGAGGTAGGTGTGTCGAAGACAGTAAGATTGGCACAGGATAGAGCAAGGTTTAGAGCTGTTGTACATAGGGTCACTTACAAGTGACTTAATGGCACATAACAACATTGCAATGTGTATTTTTAGATAAATTAATAAAATTGTCTATACTGTCTATACTAATACAAAATATATCCAGGTTGGATTGGCTGGAGTTGGCAATAATAATTCTACATACATCAGGCTCCCTCAGTTGAAACCTTCCCAGTTGTCTGGGAAGCCCAAATAGAGATTAAATGTCTGAGGTTTTGTTTTTGTGGGTTCCCTGCCCCCATAGTCTCGGCCTCTATTTCCTTATTGTCAAAGAAATATTTTTAAGGCCATTTTATGCAGTGTACTGTGTCAGAACCCAGGTTTTTTAGGTGTATTTCTTTCACATCTTGAAATGATTGGCAGAAAATATCCTCTTGTTAATTGATAGCTGCTAACAATTAACATAGCTTGATAATAGGAATTTTTTAAAAGTTCACCCTTAGGATGACTAGTAAATGAGAAGAAAAATATTTAATTCCGCAAAACTAAAAACTCATTGCCATTGAGTCAGAATCAACTCATAGCTGACGCTCTCCAGTAGGTTTTTGGAGGCTGTACACTGCCCACAAGGAGACTGACTGCTCATATATCTCCCATTGACCACTGGTGGATTTAAGCCACCAGAGAAGCATCGCCTCTCTGTCAGCAGTGCAAATCTCAACAGTCTACACAACCAGCACAGCCCCTAATTTAGTAAAATCTTAATTTAATGAAATAATTTTGTTTTGATCAAAAAGGGCTTCATTATTTTTTTCTATACAGTTGCCTTCTTTTGATCAAGGAATTTATTAAACATTGATGAATCAAAGAATTATTGTCTAATTAATACTACTAGGTTAGAACCTAGGAAACAACTGACAGGAGTGGAGCATGTTTTTTTGGACCTGGGGCCATGTATGACAAAGCCACTACATATCAAGGAAAACTGAGAAATGGAAATCTCCAGGGAATGCTGGACACACAGATGTTGAAGAAAATTCATTTCCTCCATAACTGAGAAAGAAGACCTTTTCCTAGAGATGGTACCCTTAATTTGGATTTCTATCATACTATAAATAAACTTGTGCATTAAAACTTCACCCTGTTCCCCCAAAAGAAGCCAGAATCTTCTGTGTGAATTTGTTTAAATCATCATTGATGGTTATTACTATTTTGGCTTTTTGAATGAGCATTTAACATTTGCCTTGGTCAGTTCTCATCTTCAGGGAAAACCAAATGTCACCCACCAAAGGAATAATTCTTTTTCTGCAAGGTGTTTCAGGTCAGTAGGCAGTTTCAGTCTATTTCCTTCACCATATTACCATAAAACCCCAAAGGTGGTTAGGAGGAAATGTAGTGGTTTTAAAAGTCAAATGTGTTTATTAAATGGCTGAAGTACTTTTAGAATTCTTTTTAGGATTGCTGTTGTTAGGTACTGTTGAGTTGAGTAAGATTCATAGCAACACTATGAACAAGGGATCTGAAACCTGTCATGTGCCATCTGCATCATCTCTGACACACTTGAGCCATTGCTGCAGTCACTGTGTCAATCCATCTTGTAGAAGGTCTTCTCATCATTTCCCTTTCTAACTAATACCCTTCCTAATAGCATACCCAAAGTATGAGATGAAGCTTCGCAATTCTTGCCTCTAAGGAGTACTCTGGCTGCAATTTCTCCAAGTTCTTTCCAAAACCCATGGGATATTGAGTGCTCTTCTCTAGCACCACAATAGAAAAGGATTTCTTCTTCATTTTCTTCTATCATCCTTACTCATAGTCCAGTTCTCAGATGCATACATAGCAAGTGATTGAAAAGACTATGGCCTCAAACAAACAAATGAAGAAATGTTCAAAATCCCTAGCTATCAGAGATATGCAAATAAAACAACTATGAGATATCATCTCACCCCAGCAACAAAAGCAAAATTTCAGCAGGGCAGCAAAATGCTGGCAGGGTTGTGGAGAGATGGAAACCCTTATTCACTGCTGGTGGGAATGTAAAACGGTGTAACCACTATGGAAAGCAGTTTGGCACTTTCTCAAAAAGTTGAAAATAGAAATACCGACTGACCCAGCAATGGGAATATATATTAAAGAAACCATAGCTGCCATCCAAACAAAGATA